GAGTTCACCGTCTACATATACGAGTCAGAGTACCGACAGATACAAGCTTGGGTTGATAAATACCAAAACCTTGAAACTGGAGGAGACTTGTTTGGCTTATGGGCAGACGACCACACTGCAGTGGTGCAGCTCGTACTCGGGCCAGGGAAACACTGTAGACGAACATCAGCTTCCTTCTACCAAGATGTTAAGTACCTTGATCGAGTAGGTAACCTCTTGACTAACGAAGAAGGGTTGTGTCATATTGGAGAATGGCACTCTCATCACAGACTCGCATTAAAGGAGCCAAGTGGAGGAGACAAGAATACAGTCTGGACCAACATGGATAGATATGGTATCTACCGATTTCTCCTCTTTATTGCCACCATTGATAGAAGTTGGTCGCAGGAAGGGTCAATACAAAATAATGTTGGAATAAATTGTTTTCTTTTCAAAATCAATCCGCGAGAGGGCAATCCATACTATCAAGTTCAGGAGGGCATATTTGAAAAAGTCAAAAAAGAAAGCCCATTACGGTTAAAATACACGGAGGACATAAAGAYAGGAGCTGAGAGTGATACTGAATTAGTTGTTGTAGAAGACAAGGAACCAGAAGACAACAAAGGATCTGAAATATGTTGTTTCTTTTGTAGTCTCTGCCCCATGTGTTTGCTAATTAACTGTCCATGGCTAAGCAAACACTGAACCCGCTGAAAGATCTGGAATCCTGAATATGTTGTTGTTTAATTGATGTTTGTCTGTTTGTTTGTTTTTGTGGCTTTTTTCGTCGTTTCTGTCCCATGTGATTGTTTGTTGACTGACCTTAAAATAACTGTCCATGACCATGGTATAAATCGAGTTGCACTTATTGTCGTGGGGCGTGGGTAAAAGTCGTGGGTCCCGAAAAATAAGATAAAATAAGATAAAATTCATGTAAGATAAGATAAAATAAATAGATAAAAATATCGACAATTAGATTTCGAAAAAATAAGTGTAGAATTCGATTTACACAGTACAGGAAATAGTCTGAGTACTCAGGCTAAACAGCATAGCACAACAGAAGCCATGCAATGACAAGCTGTAACTGAATACTCATATTATGACACTTCAAATATAGGTATGATATAATAATCTAACCAATAATCGGTACTAACACTGCCGAAACTAGCTGAAACTTCATAGTTGCAGACTAGACTTTGTTTTTGCTGATCCTTCGCCTTTGCTTCTCATTCCTTTATACTCTATTCATTATTTTATCAAACAGTTTATATTTTGAGAACATGTTTTATTTTGATCAAATATAGTTATACCAACTCTGGTTATACAAAAGAACATTTATAAGAGAATCTTGTGTATTTACACACTCCGCCAAGATCGGTTGCTGTACTCCGGTCATGAAGGTCAATAATCAGTATTTCATAACAAACATTGTAAATGGTAAAGCTCAGTATTCCATTTTCTGCGTCGAGTTATATTGCACATTTCCTTTAAACATCGCTTTAAGTTGTTTAGTCATTTTTTTCTAACGCTAGCGCGCGTGATCAAGCTGTTCTTTTTTAAATACAGTCATAAGTCATAATTAACATCGCTTCAACAGCAACAGTAACATGTTCAGTTTGACTTGAGCCGTAAAAAGGATGTCTCTATCTATTTAACAAATTGACATCAGATTTTTATGTGTCTGTCCTCTTATTGACAATAAATTGCGTCATCACATTGTCAAAGAAGTGTGGATTCACGAGGCGTAGCCAACTTGGGTAGGGGTGTACCGCCAGGACCTCAAAACTCTGACCCTATCCCAGACCTAAAATTTCGATTTTACATACCCTACCCCAGACTAAAACTAAGAATTGTACACCCTATCCTAGACTAAAAGACGGAAAAGACGGTTTTACGATCGATTGCAATCAATATTTACTAATATTTTTATCGTTTTTGTGTCGGCAGAAAGCGTAGCCTATTTGCCAGACAAAAACGACCAATTCGTTAACCCTATCCCAGACTAACCTATCCCCCCCCCATTCCCCCCCCCCCCCGGGTTCTAGTTCCCGTTATTATTAAAATGGCTAGCTGTTGGTGTTACCTGATTTGTCGATAGTGCTATTATGAGAAGAGTGCTGTGAATTTTGGCGCAAATGCTTTAAAAATATAGGCACGACGTGCATTCCACCAAACTAACCAGGACGAAAGAAAATTTCTTGTTATTTCTTTTATAAAGGACTCCATCATGCCCTTTGTAGCGTCATAGGTTTCTTTTATTTTCATTTTCAGTTCACATTTTCAAAAAAAATTTTTTTTATTTAAAAAAATATTTTTTTTTTAATCTTATTTATTTACCTTATCTTATCTTACATATTTTATTCTGTCTTATTTTTCGGGACCCACGACTTTTACCCACTACCCACGACCCACGACAATTAGACAATTACTGCCCAGATATGGTAGTAAGTTACCCTTACCACCAATCAAGTGATGGAAAAAGCTTTCTTAATTATAGTGACCATGTTTTGAGTCCAAAGGATGATCGTATAAAGATTTGTCATTTTAGACCGAATTTGTGGACGAACGAAAGTCATGAAGGGAAGGTTGTGGCTAGAACCTTAAAGCGAATTAACTTCACCTAACAACTGGCAAAGCAATGGAGAGTTGCTTAAGAGAAATGCCCTTCATTATTGATAAAAAATAGACATCAGTTTCCCGATACCAAGTTTGCATTCACTCCAACGACACTAGTTCTGGTCTAGACCCGCGCAGAAGTAAGGTACGCACTGGCATAGTCGACTATGAAACAACACCGAAATCTAACTGAAACAGGTCAAGTTCAAATGCAAACTAAAGAAAACCAACCATAGGCTTACGATGTCTAGCTTTCAATAATGGTACTAGTCTTTATAGAGCGGTTGTCGTGATAAACATACGGTACTKACTTACAGTACGGACAAAGTACAACATACCGTCACATTGGAATGGCTTCCCACTGCTATTTYCAGTACTTTATCTAATGACAACACATACGCACGTCTACAGTACCGCTTCGAATTTGCCGTATCCGTTTCCCCCTCATATGAAAACCACTCTAATCACTGTATGTATATCACCGGTGTAATATATAACTTTACACGTTTACACGGCAATAAAACCGAGGGTCCGAGAGTCGTTTATTTGTATGTCTGTCTTTCTATCTGACTGTTTGTCTAAATCTGAGTTTGTTTTTCCGTCTGTCTGTCCAATAAAAACAAGAAACACCGTTTTGTTTCTCTAAAAATTTTAACAATTTTATTTGTCCTTTTTATGAATATATACAAATGAGTTTAGCAAAATCATTGATAATTATGGCATTTAATTGTACTACCATAGTTGAGTAGACAACTGTAAACTAACTTCAAGCATACCCTCATTCCAAGTAAGTGCCTGGGACTTGTTCACTTGCTTAATTATTCAATTCTTATTTTTTGGCATTGAGCATGAATGTAACATGAAGATTCACGTTAAAWTTTTTTTACTTCTTCCGGTATGATGTGAACTACGTTTCTTTCCTCCCTCGTCTCTTTCATTCCTCGTCGTAATATTCATGTATTAATGCATAAGAGGAAGAACCAAGACTTGATTATTATATTCTCCATACACAAATATTGCCTACAAATACAACACTTAGTGTGTCCAGTCCAATATCACTTTCATAATTACAAAATAATTAAAAAACAAACAAACAAACAAAAAACACAGTTTAACTATAAACCAAGTATTTTAAAAGAAGTATTATAAAGCTAAAACCTTAAAATAACCAACATAATCTGATTGGACCAGCCAAAAGGTGTGCAATATGCACAAARATAAAAGAAGCTAAACATGACGTCATATAACAAACCTACTATATGCCTTATGTACCATAAGGAACGAGTACGTTTCACCTGGACTCAATGCTGGCCAGGTTCTTGATGTAGGTCTACTAAACATTTTTTTATTATACATATCCTATTGTAATAGTTGCCTAAATATTCCCCCTGGCTGAGCCCCTCAGCTCCCCTCCCCTCTTTCCCCCTGAACTGACCAATGTTTTTGTAGGTCCAGCCCTCCCCTTGCAACCTTTGTACCCTGTAATTCTAAGAGAACTCCATTCATAAAAAGCCAAACCAGGACTCTAAAATCCATTTAGCAAGTTGCCTGTAAAGGCGTTACGCTATCCCCGTAAACATGCTTTAGATGCAATCCCTGTAGCAATGGGATCTGACACTGTATGGCCACAAATTTACTAGACTACCATCAAATGAGCTRCGTCTACATAACCTATACTGTTAACGTAATGTTGTTATGGGGATAATTTTGATGCGATCCACGTAGTACTGGAATCTGATACTGTATGGACATTTACTAGACTACCATCAAATGAGCTGCGTCTACATAACCTATACTGTTAACGTAATGTTGTTATGGGGATAATTTTGATGCGATCCACGTAGTACTGGTATCTGATACTGTATGGACATTTACTAGACTACCATCAAATGAGTTACGTCTACATAACATGCATTTAACGTGATGCTGCATGATCATTTCCATGATGTCCTGGCGTTTGATCCTGTTCAGTATAAGACTGAAGTCTTCCAGTTTTAACCGCGGGCGAGATGTTTTTAGCTTATTGAGTACTATCTCAGCGGGATTCTCTTCCTTTTCGACGCTTGTTATTTCTTTATCAATTCGAATGTACGTACATAACTCTCTCCAATTGGGGACACCTTTCTTGTTCAATTCTTTGCAGATTTCTGCTCGTAAACATCTTCTTTCTATTATATTGTACAAGTCATCTGTTGGTTGGGGAACACAATCTGAAATAAAAAGCACAAATGTTGAGGAATAATAATCGTAAATATTTATTCAATTTCATAATTATGATCATCATTATGATGATCAGCGGGATGACTATGATTACGCAAAATGCCGATAATAGATGATAATGACGACACATGACTATATTATGACGATGATATACATGATTGACGTCAAGGTGGTGATGATGATGGATAATGATAATTGGTGATGGTGTTGCAAAAAGATGATTGAAGATGCAGATGGCTTCAGTGATGACATAAGATGAGAAGAGATAGCAGCCAAGCTCAATTAGGAAAAACGTCGACCAAGTGACGATCAGGTGAATTATCAACTCACCTTCACAATGACAAAGCTTTGTTTCGCGAACATAAGGTCGATACGAACAGGGGGGACCACACGTGCACCTTAAAACATCTGTCAAAGACACAAAATAATTTTATTTAATCATCAGTTCCGTCCAAGATGGTCAAATGAAGATCAGTGGAACTGGAAGCCAAGAAAAAATACTTATTTTCTGCATAGAAGCAGCACAAGCATGTTTATAYACTGACGAGGGATTATATCAATTCTCATGGACTACATGTTGCAAACCAACCAAATTCACCAAGTCAGTACCTTCACTTTCCAGACCATTGTCATCCAGTGTTCTCCTTGTCTTCTAGGAAATGAAATAATTATTTYGTTAATCGTATAGTAGAGTGACCACAGTAAATCCGTGAAACACTAATTACTAAATAGTATAAAATAGTGCTAGTTAAACAATAGAAAACAATGGAATYTGCATGAAATTGTGCTATTAGTAGTATTACTAAAGTTTCACGGATTTACTGTTGTCACTCTACTAGTTATAGGAAACCGGCAAAAATATGTTAGATAGATAGATAGATAGTTTATTGACTAAAAACATAGAAGCCATAGGCTGAATTACGTTTAGCTTATAAATACTATTTTACAATATGAAAACAATAAAGACTATATGTAAAATTTCATGCAAAACAAAAAACAAAAAAACACCTCATCATAAAATATAATTTTATAATTTGAAAGTAATTTCATTTAAATATCTAGTTATTAAAAACGTGACTTAGAATAAAACTGTTCTTGCAACGTTATGCGGTTACCTTTTTTTCTGGCTGTTTCTTTCTTCGTTTTCCATTTGAACTAACTTTATCTCGTTTTCCCTTCGAGAATTCTAAAACACAAACACCCAGGTTTAACGAATGAAGTTTTTTGAATGAAGTTTGAGACTAAAACGGACGYCATGTAAATTGCTGAATATTTCATTACCTTTCCTAATGAATTCGTCACTGATCATCCCACGATGTTGTCCTGTTGCTATGATAACAGTATTTTCTCCACTTGCAGTAGCAGGGATGGACGTACGTGGCTCTTCACTATCACTATGTTCTTGTCCAGGTTTATTATCCAAGTTAACCTTCATGACCTCCTTTCTATCTTCTGTATGTGGAGGTGSTGGTTCATTTGATACTACCTCTCGGGATATGGATGATTCATCTAGTTGTTGTAAACTTCCTGAATTGTTTCCTTGGGTGGAAAGACAGTCATCCGCAATATCTTCACATCTCAGTATTTCGATATACTCTCCATATTCTGGATTCATAGCCACCTCTGCTCTGGTAGGCAGCCATCTCATTGGCCTCATTTGGACCGCGCCTAGGTCGGTGGAATCACGATAGACCCATGGATCATGATAAGCAAACTCATCATAATCAAGATCACTTGTAGAAACATTGGAGCCTGGATGGGAAAACAAACAAATACGAATAACTTTTTCACATGAGTAACACACAAGGCAGCACGCAGAAGGTTTAGTGATAAAAACCCATGCCAAGATTACTAAACTAGCTAAAAGTAAGTAGGGTCAGTCTCAGTTGACTTACGGTCATGCATCATGTGATCTGATTGGCTCTCCATTTCTTCCTCTGGTAAGATCCTTTGAGCGTAATCTGTAGTTATAATTATTTTGTGTCATTCGTGGACATGGTGCTGTGATTGGGTGAATCATACCGTCATGTACTCATTCAAAAAACATTCTAACAGTGACGACTTACTTGTGATAACTGGTGGAGCTGGTGCTTCAAATCTTTCTTCGACTGTGATCACTGAGTTAGAGGTATCGTCTTCTACKTCTCGTTCGCGGGGTCTGAGAAGAACTTTTATCCTCTTCAAGATGTTAAAATGCTTTAGCATATGAAAAAAGATGGTCGCAAGGAGAACTATGCCAATCACGGTAGCGACCAGCCAACCAGTAAAAAAACCTGTAATAAACGACACTGATAGATCTAATACTGCACCTTATTTATTCGCCAAAGGCGAAGTGAATATCAGGGGATAATAACTGAAACGAAGTCGAGGTTATTATTTCCGATGTTCACTGAGCCTGAGGTGAATAATTGTTTTAGTATAAATGCACATTCAAAAAAATATAAAAAATATAAAAAAAAAAAGAGATAAAAGACACATTTTTTCCGGTAACGGCTACAAAGCGGCTTGCCGCCATTTTGAATTATCGCTGTGATATTCTGAGTTTCTCGACTAATCAACGCGCGAGATTTTCAATAATCACCTGTGTACTTATACTATAAATAGGCATTAATACGATAACAGACATGTAATTGGTAAGTATAACATTGCATGCTATTGGCTATCAGATAGAATAGAAAACAT